TTATATTAAATTAGAAAATTTATTAATTCATACAGTTGATTTGACAGCACGATTTTCTAATAAAGTTGATTTATAAATAGTTTTTTTTAAAGTTAAATTCATTTCAGTTAAATCATTTCATTGGCATATTATTTCGGTATTAAATAGTAAGCATATTTAAAGTTATTTTTTAAAAACCACTAGAAAGTACTAAGGTGATTTTACTTGCTCTGCACTAGTGTTAATGTATTTCCACAGTGTATGACCAGTTATGGTGATTTTACCCGCTCTGCACTATTGTGAATGTATTTCCATGGTGTATGACTAGATAGCTCTGCTCGTGTATGACCAGAGTTTCAGAATTACAGAATTTTAGAATTGGATAGCTTTGCCATGTCTATCGGTGCTAACCGATACATGAGTATAGTTATTTCGGGTTCCTTTTTAGTGTGATTTATCAGTATTATACAGCTTATCAAATTTCAGAATGTAGAATTTAGCTTATTCAGTTTAAAGAATAAAGATTTAGCTTATAGTACTGTGAATGATATTTTTATCATAAACCAATTTTTAGAAAGTTAGCATAAATGGAAATAGTATATTTGTTTACAAAATTATCCACTCACTGAGTTATAAGCTCATATATTTTTTTCTCCCTTTTTCTTATCAGATCGTAGCTGTGTTGAGTCGCATCGGAGCCAGTTGAATTACCAAATTGAGCCACTCAGTTGTTATTTGTATGTTTCTTTTTGTCAGTTTATACCGTTCATAATTTTTGGGGTAGATGCATCTTTTTTCAATTTATATCATGGGCTCACTACATAATTTTGTATAAGTAATGCATTTGGAGTCCTCTAGTTTATAAAGAAGTGCAAATTTCATTCCAACGTACATTATTGTGAATAGTTGTGTTTGGAAGGGCTGATGTACCCTGTTTTAAATTATATGTATTGGTTTGAAAAAGTTGAAAATTTTCAGGTGATTTTAGTCCATATTTTAGAAGAAACTTTGCCAAAATTTTATAAAATTATGTTACAGTCAAAGCAAATCATAGTTGCCTTGGTGGTGGGTCCGGCATTTAGTTGGTATCCCTCATCTAGGCACGGCACGTGTCGGGTCTATTAGGCTGATTCTGGATGAGACCTGTCAATTGGTATCAGAGCATGGTCATAGAATCAGTTTGCTTTGCATTTATTTTTGACTTTGTTCTCATTATATCATACATATTTTGTAGTTGAAAGTCATGGCTCATGGTAATAAGACTCGTAGGCTCCAAGATGTGTCGCCTCAACCACAAGTTGCTTTTGATAGAGATAAAGTTGAAGAATCAGTGCATCAAACTTATAAGCAACGACGGCATGGGGATGTAGCTCAACTTGATCCTATAGTTGACAGAATTACTACTATTGTTGCTTCTACTTTACGCATTTCTGATAAAGAATATAGCATAGAGTGAGCAACTAAATTAGGAGCTAAAGTGTTCACAGGCACTGCTGATCCAGCAAAAGCCAAATCTTGGTTGGTAGGGATTGAAAGGGTATTTGATGTTATGGATTGTCCCAAATATCAAAAATTGTGTTTGGCAACCTTCTTGTTAGAATGAAGTGCTTATGATTGGTGGAGGTCAATACAAAGTAAATATGTTGATCCTTCTGTGATTACGTAGGCTGATTTTAAAGAAGATTTTAATGAGTATTATTGCCCCCATTCATATAAGAATGACAAATAGAATGAATTCTTGAAACTAGTACAGATATACACAGTGGCAGAATATTAGAAAAAGTTCGTAGAATTATCAAAGCATGTCACGGCCCTTGCAGTCGATGAAGTTGATAAGTGCAGAAGGTTTGAATAAGGCTTGAGAGAAGAAATCAGATTCGTGGTGACTCCAACAAGGTATGAGAATTTTGGTAAATTTGTAGAAGTAGCGATGCGAGTGGAGAAAAGTCTTTTAGAACGACAAAGCAGTCAGCAACAAATGAGGCCTAGAGTTGGTGGTAGTCATTAGTGGGTTGGAGTCTCAATGAATAAACCATAAATCATCGAGAGGGGATCGTAGCGGAGGTAGATTAGGTGTTTCCACGTCTGGCAGCTTCAAATCTAGATCTCATGGCAGTTAGAGATCTGTGCAGCAATCAGGGAGTAGTCGTTTTTAGACACAAGGATCTTTCCAGAGATCATTTACTCCTAGGTAGGGTGATAGCTCCAGTGTTTCCAGGTTTCCTCAGTGTTAGTCTTGTGGTTAATTTCACCTTGGTGAGTGCCTTAAGGGTGTTGGGGTTTGTTATCACCGTGGTTAGACTGGGCATATAAGGAAAGAATGTCCAATTCGTTTTCAGCAATGTGGTGTATCACAAGGGACATCTTTACAGTCAGGTGTTGATATTTCCAGACAGAATCAAAACTAGGACACGTTGGCAAGTAAAACAAGTGCCACTAGTGCTATTCAGTTTAATGTTGCTAGCAGCAGTGGTTCTAGACAAAAAGGTCAACAAGACGTCCCAAAACTCAAGGGAGAGTGTTTGTAGTGACTCAGTATGATGTCGAGGAATCCCTACATGTAGTCATGGGTATGCTATCTATTTTTAGCAAAAATGCTCGTTCTTTAATTGATTCTGGTGCTACATATTCATTTATATCATATGCATTTGCTATTAATGCAGACAATATGTTAGAACTATTAGATAGTGATTTAGTGGTAGCTACTCTAGTAGGAGATTTACTTTTAGGTAACAGAGTTACAAAGAGTGCGTGATTAGAGTGAATGACCATGAGTTGAAAGCTAATTTGATTTCACTTGATATTCATGATTTTGATGTGATATTGGGCATGTATTTCTTAGCTGCAAATCATGCTTCAGTTGATTGTTTTTGCAAAGAGGTGGTGTTTAGAAGGCCATAAGAGCTTGAAATTGTTTTTAGTGATGAACGAAGAATATTACCTTCATATATTACTTCTGCACTTGATGTTGGGAGATTGCTTAGAAAAGGCTATCCTGCATATTTGGCTCATATGATTGACACGCAAATCACTAAGTTGAAACTTGATGATATACCAATGGTAAGAGATTTTCCTGGTGTTTTTCCTGAAGATCTTTCAAGTTTACCTCCAGATAGAGAAATTGAGTTTACCATTGACTTGATCCCAGGGACCACGCCTATTTCACATACACCTTACAAAATGGCTTTAGCGGAGTTAAAGGAATTGAAAGTTCAGTTGCAAGATTTAGTTGACAAGGGTTTTATTAGACCCAACGTATCTCCATGGGGAGCACCAATCTTATTTGTGAAGAAGAAAGATGGCACAATGCGATTGTGTATTGACTATAGACAGCTGAATAAAGTGACTATTCGCAATAAGTATCCTTTACTTCGTATTGATGATTTGTTCAACCAACTTCGAGATGCTATAGTATTTTCTAAGTTTGATCTGCGGTCAGGGTACCGTCAACTCAAAATTAAGGATGTTGATGTGCAGAAAACTGCTTTTAGGTCACGGTATTGCCATTATGAGTTTCTGGTGATGCCGTTTGGGTTGACTAATGCCCCAGTAGCATTTATGGACCTGATGAATAGGCTGTTTCACCCATATTTAGATAGATTTGTGATTTTTTTTATTGATGATATATTGGTCTATTCTCATAGTCGTGAAGATCATGTTGAGCATTTGAGGATTATTTTACAGACTTTGTGAGATAAGTAGTTGTATGCTAAGTTTAGCATATGTGAATTTTGGCTGGATAAAGATGTATTTATGGGTCATGTTATCTTAGCAGAAGATATTTGTGTAGATCCTCAGAAAATTGAAGTAGTAATAAAATGCGAACACCCTACTAATGTTATAGAAGTACTGAGTTTTCTTGGCTAAGTAGGTTATTATCATAGGTTCGTAAAGGATTTTTCTAAAATTGCTCTTCCTCTGATTAGTTTGACTCGAAAGAACACCATGTTTGTGTGGACTGAAGAATGTGAAAAGAGTTTTCAAGATTTGAAGTGAAGATTAATTTTTGCTCCTCTACTTACTCTTCCATCTCCAGGTGAAGAGTTTGTGATTTATAGTGATGCTTCACGCCAATGGGAAAGCTGTAGCTTATGCTTCTAGACAATTGAAAAAGCATGAGTTAAATTACCCAACTCATGATTTGGAGTTAGCTATAGTGGTGTTGTCATTAAAGATTTGGAGGCACTATCTTTATGGCGAGAAATATCAAATATTTACCAACCATAAAATTCTAAAGTATATCTTTGATTAGAAGGAACTGAATCTGAGGCAGAGAAGATGGTTGGAATTGATAAAGGATTATGATTGTAAGATCGGAAAGCTAATATAGTTGCAGATGCTCTCAGTAGAAAGACTGATTCTTCCTCTCTATCTAGTGCAGAATATGCTTCCTTGATCGGTGAGTTCAAAAAGTTGCATACTCAGTTGTTAGTACTATTTTTGGGGCATTATTAGCTCATTTTCAAGTAAAGCCTAAGGCCTTCTTTAATTGATAAGGTTAAAGAAGCTCAATCACAAGACCTGGCATTGAAAACATTGAAAGCAGAAGTCAATGATGGACTAAGAAAGGATTATGTGATTAGAGATGATGGTGCATTTCCTATGGGTAATAGGTTATGTGTTCCAGATATTCCTGAATTAAAGAAAGATATTCTGGAAGAGACACATAGTTCTGCTTATGCTATGCGTCCAAGATGTATTAACATTGAAAGATCATTACTGGTGGCTTGGAATGAAGAGAGAGATAACATATTTTGTATCAAAATGTCTTATCTGCCAGTAGGTAAAGCCAATTCGTCAGAAAATAGCAGGACTTTTACAGCCATTGTTGATTCCAGAATGGAAATGGAAGCACATCACAATTGACTTTTTATTTGGTCTTCCTCGTACCCAGAATGGTCATGATGGTGTTTGGATTATTGTGGATCGTTTGACCAAGTCTGCTAGGTTTTTGTCGATCAAAGCCACGTACACTTTAAATAAGTTGGCAAAGTTGTATGTGGATGAGATAGTGAGCTTATATGGTACTCCATTATCCATTGTATCGAACAGAGACCTTTGTTTTACATCTAAATTCTTGCCCAGTTTACAGGAAGCCATGGGTACTAAACTACATTTCAGTATGGCTTTCATCCTCGGACGATGGTCAGTTGGAGAGGACCATACAGACTCTTGAGGATAGGTTGAGGGCTTGTGTTTTAGAGTTCAGAGGTAGTTGGGATTCACATTTGTCATTGATGGAGTTTTCTTACAATAACAGTTACCACTCTAGTATAGAAATGGCTCATTTTGAAGCTTTATATGGTAAAAAGTGCAGAACACCGGTTTTTTGGGATGAAGCTGGTAAGAGGAAGTTAGTAGGCCCTAAATTAGTTCAAATGACTTCAAAAAATGTGAAATTGATCAAAGAAAGTTGAAAGCAACAAAAGGTAGACAGAGAAGTTATGTAGATAGGTATAGAAAAGATCTGGATTTCATAGTTCGAGATAAAGTATTTCTAAAATTGTCACATTGGAAGGGAGTTTTGAGATTTGGCAAGCGATGAAAATTGAGTCCGCGATACATTGGACCATATGAGATTACTGAGCGGATTGGTCCAGTTGCAGACCGATTAGATTTGCCAACTGAATTATCTACGATTCCTGATATTTTTCATGTCTCCATGCTCCGCAAGTACATTGCAGATCCTTCTCATGTTCTAGAGTCTCATCTAGTTCACTTGAAGGAGAATTTGACTTATACAAAGGGGCCAATGAATATTCTAGACATAAAGGTGCAAATTAAGCGGAACAAGACAATTTCAGTCGTAAAGATGCTTTGGTAGAATCAACGGTAGAAGAGGTAACCTGGGAGCATGAGGATCAGATGCATGTTCAATATCCTCATCTATTTGTTATCTAATCAAATGCTAGTTGAATTTCTATAATGAAATTCTTTTGAGGTGAGATTGTTACAACCCATTTTTGTTTAGTTGAAATACAAAGATTGCCTCATCAAAGTTAAGGTCAACTAGGGACTTAAATGAAATAAAAAATTTTGATTGGGACTTAATTCACCAAATTATTTTATTGGGGTTTATTTTATTATTGATATTACTTAAGGATTTAAAAATGGCCATCATTTAAAATTGGGGGATTTAGTTTATAAGTGTGGAAAGATTAATGACTAGAATTTATACAAAACATAAAAGAATGGACTCGATTGCAAAATTGGGTTATTGGAGGACAAGTGGCAAGTTATTAACTAATGTCTCATTTGTTTTGTGATATGCACACACAAGAGGGAGATACTTGGACGACGGCTTGTGGAAGCCGGAAAAAATTGAGAAAGATGAAGAGAAAGAAGAGAAAAGAAAGGAGAAAAAAAAAGGAAGGGAAAAAAAGGGATGAAGAAAACTTGAGTTCCACTATTCAGTTCCTTCATTTCTTAGAGGGAAGAAGAGGTAAATGTTTTATAGCATAATTTATATTAAACTTTCTATGTTTCTAAGTAATTGGTTTAATTTGATAGTTTAATTTTCAGATTAATGGGAAGAGTATGATTTCAAGCCGGTCTTTTTGATTTATGAAAGATCTTTATAACAAGGTAAGAAATATTAATTTTGGTAAACCCTAGAGTTTTTAATTGAGTTCTTGAATAGGTATAATTAGTGGAAATTATAGTATTGATGAAATACACACTTGAAAGGATTAATATAATGAACAAGATGTAAATTAAATTGGTGCAAGAGAGAATTCAAGTTTTACAATAATAGAAGAAGAAATTGTTTTTATGTTTGGGATGAAGGTAAATTTGGGTATGTGGCGTAGTTCTGAAAGTATTAGAAAGTAAGAATTATTACAATATTGATTAAAGGAAATTTAGGAAAATTTCGCAAATCTCGGGAAATTTAGTTTAATTATTATATCATTAGAAATAAAAGGTTTCTTGATTTTAATAGTGGTTAAATTAGTTATTTTGTAACTATTTTAGGTGGTGACGAAGAAATTGGAAAAGCTTACCGACCGGCCTAGTCTGTAGCTCGTATTGTGTGAGTGGATATAAACTTATTTTTCAAAAATTAATATTTATAAAAATTATATTAAATTAGAAAATTTATTAATTCCTGTAGTTGATTTGACAACACTATTTTCATAATTAAGTTGATTTATAAACTGCTATTTTTAAAGTTAAATTCATTTCAGTTAAATCATTTCATTGGCATATTATTTTAGTATTAAATAGCACATCATATTTAAAGTTATTTTCTAAAAATCACCAGAAAGTACTCAGGTGATTTTATCCGCTCTGCACTGGTGTGAATTTATTTCCACGGTGTATGACCAGTTATGGTGATTTTACCTGCTCTGCACTATTATGAATGTTTTCCATGGTGTATGACCAGATAGCTCTGTGCGCATGTGACCAGAATTTCAGAATTACAGAATTTCAGAATTGGATAGCTTTGCCATGTCGATCGGTTCTAACCGATACATGAATATAGTTATTCCGGGTGCCTTTTTGGTGTGATTTATCAGTATTATACGGTTTATCGGATTTTAGAATACAGAATTTAGCTTATTCAGTTTAAAGAATAAAGATTTGCTTAAAGTATTGTGAATGATATTTTTATTATAAACCAGTTTTTAAAAAGTTAGCATAAATGGAAATAGTATATTTGTTTAAAAAATTATCTACCCATTGATTTATAAGCTCATATATTTTTTCTCCCTTTTTCTTATCAGATGGTAGTTATGTTGAGCCGCATCGGAGCCTGTTGAATTACCAAATTGAGTCACTCAGTTGTTATTTGTATGTTTCGTTTTATTAGTTTATACAATTCATAATTTTTGGGTAGATGCATCTTTTTTCAGTTTATATCATGGGCTCACTAAATAATTTTGCATAAATAATGCATTTGGAGTCCTTTGGTTTATCAAGAAGTGTAAATTTCATTCCAACACACTTTATTTTGAATAGTTATGTTTGGAAGGGCTGATGTACCCTGTTTTAAATTATATGTATTGGTTTGAGAAAATTGAAAAATTTTCAGGAGATTTTAGTTCATATTTTAGAGGAAACTCTGTCAAATTTTTATAAAATTATCTCACAGTCAAAGAAAATCATAGTTACCTTGGTGGCGAGTCAGGCATTTAGCTGGTATTCCTCATCAGCGCACGATACGTGTTGGGTCCATTAAGGTGATTCGGAATGGGTCGTGTCACTTATACACAAAAAAATTGTATGATCAACAATCGATGAACCTCAACATCCAACTCGGCATCAGCTCAGATCTCATGCCTGCAAGAAAAGAGCGACTATAAGAAACTGAATCAAATACAAATGAGGCAAACTGAACCGAATACAAATGAAGCAAGCGAATCGACACTGTCGAATAATCAGAACTTGCCTCTTAGGAATATTTTTAGAGAGCCAGTCGAGACCCTCATAAAGCCCCTTTCCAGACGTAGCACAGGTGCTCTGGATGTACCTAGAAGCAAACGAAACCAACCAAGGTAAAAAAAAAACAATAAACAAAGACCAATGGCAATAAAGAACCAAGATTTGTTTAACAGTGATGCTTCCTCAGCAAGTGCAGTCCAAGCTTGTCTATCATTTCAACAACATTCATTGCATCGGGGAGATCTTCTTTGTTGGCAAATACAAGTAATACAACATCTCGCAGCTCATCCTGAATCAACTGATATTTTTGTCAGATTTGATTGAAAACTTTGCAATAAACAAAACTCAGATGAAATTTTAATCAAATTTGATTGGAAACATGCTAATGAAAAAAACTCAGATGAAATTTTAGTTAAATTTGATTGAAAACACGCCAATGATCAAAATATAGATGAAATTTTAGTCGAATTTGATTGAAAATGCACCAATAGAAAAAATCAGATGAAATTATGGACAAATTTTAATGGAAACGCACCAATGAACAAAATTCAGCCGAAGTTTTATCCAAATTTTATTGAAAACCCACCAATAAATGAAACCCAGGTAAAATTTTAGCCATATTTGAATGAAAACACACCAATGAAAAAAATTCAGATGAAATTTTAGTCAAATTTGATAGGAAACGAGCAATGAACAAAACTTAAGTGAAATTTTAGTCAAATTTGATTGAAAATGCGTCAATGAGAAAACTTGAATAAAATTGTGGTCAAATTTAATTGAAACGTGCCAATGAACAAAATTCAGCTAAAAATTTATTCAAATTTGATTGGAAATGCGGCAATGAACAAAATTAAGATGAAATTTTAGTCAAATCCAATTAGGAACGCGCATATGCACGAAACTTGGTGAAATTCTAGTTAAATTTGATTAGAAATGCGCCAATGAACAAAACTTAGATGAAATTGTAATCAAATTAATGGAAAAGGCACCAATGAACAAAACTCAACTTAAAGTTTAGTCTAATTTTACTGGAAACACGTCAATGAACAAAATTTAGCTGAAATTTTACTCAAATTTGATTGGAAGCATGCCAATGAACAAAACCCCGATAAAATTTTAGTCAAATTTGATTGGAAACACGCAAATGAACAAAATTCAGAAGAAATTTTAGCCAAATTCGATTGAAAATGCGCCAATAAACAAAATCCTGAAATTTTATTTAAATTTGATTTGAAATGTGCCAACGAACAAAACTCAGATAAAATTTAAGTCCAATTTGATTGGAAACGTGCTAATGTGCAAAATTCAAGTGAAATTTTAGTTAAATTTGATTAAAAACTTTCAATGAACAAAACTCGAGTGAAATTTTAGTCAAATTTGATTGAAAATGCGTCAATGAACAAAACTCATATGAAACTTTATTTAGATTCGATTGGAAATGTGCCAATGAGCAAAACTCAGATGAAATTTAGTCCCAGTTTATTGGAAACACGTCAATGAGCAAAATCCATGTGAAATTTTAGTCAAATTTGATTAGAAATGAGCCAATGTATATAACTCAACTGAAAATTTATTCTAACTTGATTGGAAAGTGCCAATGCACAAAACTAAGATGAAATTTTAGTCAAATTTGATTAGAAATGTGTCAATGAACAAAACTAGTAAAATTTTTGTCAAATTTGATTGAAAACATTGCAATAATCAAAACTCAGTTGAAATTTTAATCAAATTTGATTGGAAACACATCAATTAACAAAACTCAGACGAAATTTTAGTCAAATTTGATTGAAAACGCTGCAATAAACAAAACTTAGATGAAATTTTGATCAAGTTTGATTGGAAACACGCTAACGAACAAAACTTACATGAAATTTTAGTCAAACTTGATTGAAAACACGCCAATGAACAAAATGTAGATGAAATTTTAGTTAAATTTGATTGAAAACGCACTAATGGAAAAAATTAGATGAAATTGTGGACAAATTTTAATTTAAACGCGCCAATGAACAAAATTCAGCCGAAGTTTTATCCAAATTTTTTTGAAAACTCACCAATAAACGAAACTCAGGTGAAATTTTAGTCATATTTGAATGAAAACGCATCAATGAACAAAATTCAGATGAAATTTTAGTCGAACTTGATTGGAAACACGCCAATGAACAAAACTAAGGTGAAATTTTAGTTAAATTTGATTGGAAACAAACAATGAACAAAACTCGGGTGAAATTTTAGTCAAATTTGATAAAAAAAAATGCGTCAATGAACAAAATTCAGATGAAATTTTAGTCATTTCCGATTGGGAATGCGCATATGAGCAAAACTTGGTGAAATTCTTGTCAAATTTGATTGAAAACGCACCAATGGAGCAAACTACATGGGAAATTTTAGTCAAATTCGATTGGAAACACGTTAATGAACAAAACTCATATGATAATTTTGTAA